ACTGATGAACAGCCTGGGGTGTGTAGGCTGTCTGGGCCTTTCGGAGCTTCGCTGCATGGCCCTCCACTCGATTTCAGAGCCGCCCTGGAAAGAGGCAACGTCAGCCTGTCCCACTCGGCCCTACTTTAGGCTGCTCCTGATCCTGCACTTTGATATTCCACTGGGTCTGGTGATGGCAATAACTGTTTCCCTTGTCCTGGTAACAGCTGGAAGCACCTAAAGATTCCACCCAAGTGTGTGTTGGGGGAGGGGGTTGGGGGGTAGAGGGTGGAAGGAGCTAGGAGAAAGACCAAGGCTTTGCCAGAATAGGGGGCTCTACCCGGGCAGCTTGCCTCAGTTACAATAAAGTCCCATGGGTGAGAAAAAGGGGTGGCCCCCACCGGGGATCTGGGACGTGGGAAGGACGGGGACCTGAGGTGAATCATCTACACAATACTTAAATCTCTGCTCTGGCTGCCACCAAGAAGAAATGGCTGAAGCAAACTGTAGATTCCCACCAAGTGAACTGAGAACTCTGTGTGTTGAGAAATCTGGTTGTAGTTTGAGCTTGTTGTTGAGAATGGTGCTGCCCAGTAAGACAGGCACTGGCCACATGCAGCTAGGTAAGTTTAAGTTAAAATTAGAGTGAAAAACCCAGTTCCCTCAAGCCCACCAGGCACATTTCAAGCACCGGCCAGCCACACGTGGTTAATGGGCAGCACAGATACAGACCATCTTCATTAGGCAAAGCTCCACTGGTGACCACTTATCTAGAAGGATTATGCAAGGTTATGCAAAAGTGAAGGTCTCAGGAAAGGCTGGCTCCCTTTTTACTTCAAACTCTCGCTTCCAAAATGCTCAGGATGAAAAGGGACTAAAATTTTCTGTTTTGCTTGAGAGAAAGAAAAAAAAAATTTTTTTTTGTTTTTTAATTTGGAGAAGAGACATGTGGAAAAGAAGACATAGGTAAATTGGAAAAGGACGCTGAGGGGGCGATTAAAAAAAGAAGAGAAGAGAAGCTGGGACGTGCATCTCAGTGTAAGAGAGGGAGAAAGGAGAAGACAATGAGAGCCACTCCCTGGTCAGCCTGGTGAAGGAAATTTGTTCAGCACCATCTCTGATGTTTAATCTTGAAGTGAGTCTTGTTGTGTGCTCCAATCCTCCTCTGCTACCACCAAATCTTACGTGAACATCTATTTCATACAACACTCTTGTTCTGGGAATTTGATGATATATACAAAGGACTCAGAGAGCGAAACAAACCAGAGCAGGGAACAGTCCTGGGAACAGAGAGGTAAGAAGGCACTGAGGATATGAGTCATCACCAAGAAAGTGTCAGCAGGTAGGAATTCTAGGAAAGACCGGGGAGGGCCCGGTGTAGCCAGGGCATAAGGTCTTCAGCCTTTTAATATGTTTTCAAAAGAAAGTCAAGAGACTGAGCTGGAGACATTTGGGTTGCAAGTGTTTTAAAAAATACTGCTATTTCTTGCCTCTGCAATAGAAAAATCTCTGCTTTAAAGACTGAATAACAAGCATCCTTTAGGAAACAAAGTACATTTTGCATTTAAGTAACTTATAAATCAAGTAGAGTTAGATAAAAAGCAGATTTACAAGTGGCATGGGAATATAATCAGGGGCTACAATGCAAGCTGCTATGGTACAGTCTCTAAAAATGAGGCCTACCTCAAAAGCAATACAGAAATAAAATAATGCTTACATGCAGTTGCACTATTACATTTATTGGCAAAATAACATATACTTTTAAAATAATGACTAGTAGGGGCACCTGGGTGGTTCAGTCAGTTAAGCATCTGCCTTCCACTCAGGTCATGATCTCAGGGTCCAGGGATCAAGACCCACATCGGGCTCCCTGATCAGTGGGGAGTCTGCTTCTCCCTCTCTCTCTGCCCCTCCCCTGGTTTGTGCACTCTCTCTCTCAATAAACAAAATCTTAAAAAAAAAAAAATAGCAACTAGTAAACACTTTTTCTGACCTAGTGCATGCTCACCCACAGCCTGACACCCTTCCTTGACTTCTTTAAACATGTACGTGGAACATACTTTAATATTCGGCTGATCCTTAAGGCCCTCATGATAATGTTAGTTGTCACATGGTGCTGAAGGCATTTATGCCTCTTTGTAAGTGGTCCCTTTGCTATGACACTTTTGGGATGCTCAGGCTGTGTTTTCTCGAATTTCTGTTCCTCCCGCTTGCCATCACCTGTCATTTCCCACTGCTGTTCACATACACCGTAGAAACAAACCTTTTCTGCTTGCATTTTGTTGCCTTTAATATTTTAGCAGCCATGGCTCCAAAGAACTGAATCTTACAGGACTGGGAAACGGTAATAAAAGTGGCCACGGTCCAGTTTCTAATACTGTGACTTTCTTGTTTGATACGTTGTTATGAAGAGAGGCATCTATTTTATTAAGTGAAAACTTGTTTTGCTTAAATCCTGATAAGATATCACTTAAAGTTGAAAGCTGAGCTGGGTTGTATTCAATCCTTGTTCAAGATTTTGACCTCTACCTCATTTGCAGAGGAACCTGGGTGAAAAGCAATTACCCTTAGAAGCCCACGCAAATCAGTGTTTTCTAAATATGAGTGAGTTGTGATGATTAATAGCTAAAGAAAATCATCCTGAGAAATAAAAATAATAACCTCTTGTTCATCAAACCACAGTTCACTTGATAAAGCATAAAAACAGTACTTTTTTCCTCCAATGTGTTTCTGCTTATATGACAGTAGTCAAGATACTCAGCCAGTGATTATATTTAATCTCTTCAAAATGACCTTCTCTGAATTATTAGAAGCCATGTAGTATTTATTTTTAAGTAATCCTGTAGCTTTCTGGTGCTTGGGATGCTGCCTGAGGAAACTGCCAAACTCTAGGACACTCTAGTAGATCCAGGGAATGATGTCCCACCAGCTCATAACCAAGGGTCAATGGTGATTACCTTGGTGACTCTAGTACCCAACCTGGACCTGGCTTACCTGGGAAAAACACTTGTGCTTCTAAGCCAGTCCCTGGCCTTCTGGGTAAAGTGGATAAAATCAGCCAACTGCAATAACTTACTTTGTTGATATTGGTCATTTTTTATTTAAAAGATGAAAACTGTCACATGATTTACCCTAATATTTTGAATCTATTGAGGTTCAGATCCCCATACAGATCTTGAAGATTATCAAGTACTTGCACCATTTCACTTATCAAGAAATGGAACAAGCAATAGAACCAGACCGAGTTGGAAACATTTCTATCTAAAATACTCTGTAATGCTACATCTGCAGTGAGTTTGGCAGTTTCAGGCAACCTGATAGTCCCCAGAGAGAGAAAGATAAGTAAAAGATGGTCTTTGACCTCAAGAAACTCAGAATACAGTAGAAGACATAAAAACAATAAATAAAATGCAAATGCAGTGTAGTATGTGCAAGGGTAGGTGAGTGGTGGCACAAAGAAGTTATCAATTCTTATTGAATGGTTCAAGGAAGGGGATCAAAGAGGTAGAGATTTCTCATCTGGGTTTTGAAGGATGAGCAGGAGTTCGTCAGTCAAATTAGGAGGAACAAGCGCATTTTAGGAAAAGAAAGCAGCATGTACAAAGCATGTAACAGAATAGTATCTTGGGGGAACTGCCAGGGAATTTTTATGGCTAAAGCAGAGAGTGTGTGTAGGAAACTGGTGGGAAATGAGGTTGCGCTATTAGGCAGGAGCCAAATCAAGGAAGGCCTTGTATTTCACTTTATCCCGCAATATGGAGTCATGGAATCCTTTGAAATAGAGAAAAGCAAGTCCTGATTTAGATTTTCAAAAGATTACAATCACAATTTGGGAAGAGAGAAAAAAAGAACAAACAAAAAAAGACTAAGAGAAAACTGCCAAAGAATTAATAGTGGTTGCCTCCAGCAGGCGAAATATTTTCCGTGTCTTCTCATAGCAGAGTGAGGCTAGCTGTTCCTTCAGGGAAGGAGCCAAGCTTGTCCTATAAACAGCTGTCACTTCAATATTTTAATTCAGTACAAGGAATAGTGACCACACTGGGGCCCATCCTTTGCCTTTCTCAATTTTATTTACTTACAAAGCAACTATGGTATAAATCTAGAGGGTATTAGGAAACACATTTGGAAAAACCAAGTCAACAAGTACTGAGTCATGTCAGTCCACAGACCTCATGAAAAGGCCCGATGATCCAAACCTCTGAGTGGGCCACCACAATCAGCCACCGCATACATTCCAGTGATTTCGAGGGGAACCAATTCTGACTGGAGATGAAGTCTTAGCAAGTTGTACATTTCACTTTGCCTCAGAGGCGACAGTCTCCTCACCCTCCCCTGCCCAATCCACCTCAAACTCAAGTACAATCCAAGAAATACGATGCATTTACAATGCTGATGAGGCTTCAACTCACTGACCTAAACTTTCCCAATAGATTGGTGGCCCCAAGCCCCTGCTCTATAGAAGGTCTGGAGCCAATGCCGCCTTGCAAAGGGCACAAATAATAAATGATAGAAACCCCAGGCATGCAAAGCTTTCATCCAACTGTTCTGTAAGAATGAAACCAGCAAAGCAAACGACTAGCACAAAGTCCAATCACTATTCCATTTATAACAAATACAAAGTTTTATGTAGAACGCCTGCCAAAAGCACTTCGTTAGGCAAAAACTGTTACTACATGAAACTCATCTGTAAAACCAGGGTAATAATAGCAACAACCTTATAAGGTTGTTGTGAAGAATTAAACAAATAATACACACAAGTGCTTAGAAAACTGTCTGGCACACAGTGAGCACTCAATAATTTATAGCATCATTATCGTGATTATATCTGGCACACAGTAAGTGCTCAATAAATTACAGTATCATTATCATTATTATTATATCTCATAACTTGCCTCTTTCCAACTATTCCAACTTATAAATCTCAAAGATGTTCTTATTTATGTCAAAGACTATTTACTCAATACTGTAATTAAAATGAAATAATTATGTTTTGAGAGAAAAGATTAATAACACTTCTTTACCTCTTCATATCTGTCAAAAACGGCTCCTTCTTGCAAAAAGGAAGGAACTTCCTTCTGCCAGTTAAATTCATAAGGTTTGGCCATGACTACACTCAAGACCTAAAAAATGAAAAAGAACATCTCATTAGCGTGCAAAATTTAAAAACAAGCGAAGATCAAAAGTTATTCACTTTATATTTATGCGTTTGCAAAAGTTCTTCTTCAGATGTGTAGAACAAGCCCATAAATTGTCTCTTTCTTCTTCATTCCTTCATCCGATTCCAATTTCCCTTCTCCTTGTCTCTAAACCTAGGGAAACACAGTTGGCCCTTGAACAACACGGGTTTGACACGGGTCCACTTATAGGGGGATTTTTTTTTTTAAATAAATATAGCATAGTACTTAAATGTATTTTCTCTTTCTCAGGATTTTCATAACATTTTCTTTTCTCAAGCTCACTTTATTGTAGAAATACAGTATATACTACATATAATATACAAAATATGTGTAACCAACTGTTTATGTTATCGGTAAGACTTCTGGTCAACAGTAAGCTATTAGTAGTTAAGTTCTGGTGGAGTTGAAAGTTATATGTGAATTTTTGATCACGTGGAAAGTCAGAGCTCCTATAACTCCCACGTTGTTCAAGGGTCAACTGTAATATCCATAGCAAGGTGATCAACCAGAGGTGATCATTTGGGAAGCTTCCCCTCCCTCTTCAAATCATATAAGATAATAAGATATATATTTTAATCTGATGGCAAGAGAAAAAATAATCCACAAACCTGACCCTCTTTACAGGAGAGGCCTGCTGCAAAGTGTGGGTGGTTCTACAAGCCCACACTATGAGCCTAAAGGGGGACGCGTGGACAGTGGAGTCCACTGGTTGTTGGGTTGCAGAATCAAGTAGGAGTAACTGGTATTTTTTATTGCTCTTGGTTCTCTCCAAAGCCCTCTCACCCCTTCCTCACATGGGCCCCTCAGGGAACTGCAAAAGGTCTGCTTTCTAGCATGGGCAGCATATGACACTGAAAGAGAGCACAGGCATTCTTCAGGGTGGCTGCCTGCACTCAGGAAGAAGTGGGCACTCCTTCTACCCACACTTCTTAGCATTACGCACCATGGTGTACCTGTAGTAGTTGCAAGCAGGACATTTTCAATGAAAAGGTCAGCATCCAACAAAGAATTACCGAATATTTAAGCGATGCCAAGAACATGGAAGATGGACACCAAACCCAGTAAGCAGAACTGACACCCGAGAAAACAGAGTTAACAGGACCGATAGAACCTGACTTTGGCTTACGTGTGGCTAGTAAGTGTGGGAGGAAACATTGCATTCAGTTCCAAAAATATAATTAACTAGAAATTTAAAAGTGATTGTTGAAATCAAACTCTTAACAGGTAAGCTGAATTATAAAGAGAAGTCAGATGAAGGGCTGAGCCAAGGGATTTTCAGAGAACGCAACACAAAAAGAAAGCACAATGGAAAAATTTAGAGAGGTGGGAAATGGAAGCCGAGGGTTCAACCACGACCCAACAGAACAGCTTCTTCTATTAAAAGGCAAGAAAGCAGAGCCAATGGAAGGACTAATCAAAGCAATGGTGGAAGAACACTTCTGAAATCTGGATATTTGCATATTCAGATTTGAGTCCTCAGTGTGAATACCTGAGTCCTCATTTGAAAAAAATCCACTAATGCAAGCAGTATAAATGGTGGGGGGCGGAGGGGAGATACACACACCTAAACATACCTTTGGGGGACACTGAGACAAAAGATATGAAGAGAAGTTACAAAATTCCTCAGAGATGCACAGAAAGAAGACAATTCAGAGGTGAATGACAAGCAGATGGAAATCAGGCATACTGTCCACAGTGTTGCAACCTCAAAAGCCTGAGGGGCAATAATTTTGGACTTGAAATTGTGTCCAATCAACTAATAGCTTAATGTTTAGGAGAAAATAGAGGTATTTATGGACTTGCAAGTTATAAGAAAGATTTAATGACCTACTCTGAAAGATTTAAGGTGTTACATGCTCTGTCAAGAAGAAAAATAAATGTAGAAAAGGGATAGAGGAAATAATGCAGACATAATGAAAGAAGAAGAAAAAAAGAAATCCGCTCTTAAGTTTTACTTACTATCCAAAAAAAAAAAAAAAGATAAAGATAAAGAAATTATAATAATTTCGCTCCCAAATTGCTGATTATATCAATACAGAGGTTGTGGCAACTGACGTGGTGAGAGGAAAGGAAGTACGGACCAAAGGGAGGTCAACCATTTTGGGAGTGGAATATCAGTATTTAAGACTCTAGACACTGGCAGAAAAATAGAAGTTTAAGGGGCATCTGGGTGGCTCAGTTGGTTAAGCAACTGCCTTCAGCTCAGGTCATGATCCTGGGGACCTGGGATCGAGCCCCGCATTTGGGCTTCCTGCTCAGCGGGGAGCCTGCTTCTCCTTCTACCCCCCTTCTTGTGATCTCTCTCTCTCTCACACACACTCTAATAAATAAATAAAATGTTAAAAAAAATAGAAGTTTAAAAATTTAAGAATTTTCCTAGAGGAAATTAAAAATGGAAAGTAAAACCTGCGTACTATTAGAGGGGGAAAACAGAACAAAGAAACATGAGTCCCCTTTAAAAAGAAGACAGATGAGGGGAGGGAGGGGAAAAAGAACACACTATAAATGGAAAACACCAAATAAAATGACAACATATCCCTAGCTATAATACATATGAGTTGGCTAAATTCACTTATAAAAAGAAAAGACAGAGGCTTTGACAGTAGGTAACATTATAGTTGTTTATCAGAAATATTTATTAAAAAATGACACAGGAAGTTCGAAAATGAAGGTATGAAAAAAAAAAAAACGATCTAATAGACACATACTAGGAAGGAAAGCAAACAGGGGACCACAGTAATGTAGCAGACAAAACAGATTCAGGGAAAACAGCAAGAGACAGTGACAAATCATATTAGGCAAAGGGATGATCACAATTATTTAACAGTCATTAACATTAAAGCATGTGAGTACATAGCATCAGAACATATACTGAAAAACTGGTAAATTACAAAGAAATTTGGCAAAGTCACAAACATATTAGGAGACAATGAATGATTCTCAGAAATTAATGGAACGAGACAAAAATGTAAGGATATTGAGGATTTGAATATCACACTGACTAGTTTAATCAAAACAGTTTAGATGACTTAAACACATTACTGAATTTAGACACGCCCCTGCCTCTTTCTTTACATATATACATATATAAAATATATACATATATAATATTGAATCCTGAGTATAACAGATAATATATTATTATTATATATTTTCTTCACTCCCTCTTTGTATTCCAGGTACCCCCCACACACATATAATAATCTCAGAATCTAATCATAATTGGGCCATAGAGGAAACGTCAGCATTTTTCAAAAGGCAGAAATTAAGGTGGCCATGCTCATTGGCTCCAACTAGGCCAACTTACAAATTAATGAGAGCACATAAAATCTATATGCATACAAGTTCAATATAAACATACCAGACTTCTAAATAATTCTTCAGTAAAGCAAAATAGTCAAAGCAAAAATTATAAATTTCTTAGAAATGAAAGGTGGGAGCACTGTACATCAAAACCTAGGTATGTAATATATACCCAAAAATTGTTTAAAAATGATCAGTAAAAGTTCATTGCTTTCTGAATATTCACATATGAGATAAGCATTTGGCAAGTGTTGCGGAGAGAGAAGGATGGGGAAGGAAGAGGATGAGGAAGATGTATAAACTCACAATGTGCATGATGACAAGGAGGTGTAATTACAAACAGAAGAAAAACACATGACAGAATACTATGTTTAATTTTAACCAAAATATCTAAACACCTAAATAAATTGGATGGGTTTTTCAAAGTTAAAATAAATTTGACTCAGAAAAAAAAAAAAAAGAGAATACTTAAACTGAACAGTGACTTTGGAAGAAATTGAAAAAAAAAAAATAATAAAAGATTAGACCCAACATAGGTTTATAGGTGAGTTCTACCAAATTTTCAAGGAAAAGGCAAATCCTACATACCTAACATTTTTCCAGGACATAGGAAAAAATAAGTTACTACCTGACTCATTCCACAAGTCCCATGATCAGGTCCTGACAAGGACACCATAAGGTAGGTTAACAAAACACCAAGCAATGTTAGAGTTCAATTCTCACAGAGACAAAGTTCTAGCAATATGAGCAAATCTATCCCAGAAAGTTGCTAAAAGAAGATGAACTCAACCTAAATGTGAAAGGTCTCTAACACATACCATTAAATAGGAAACCACAGAATGATATATGAACAGTGTGATACCGTTTATCTCCATACACAGCTACAGAATAATAACAATGTAATACCACCTATGTAAACACACAGACATGAGAAAAACCTATATATTTCTTTAGGTACATAAATGTGTATATAGATAAATTATTAAAACATTTGGAAATTTATGGGGCACATGGGTGGCTCAGTTGGTTATTAAGCATCAGACTCTGGGTTTTTGCTCAGGTCATGATCTCCGGGTCGTGATATCGAGTCTGGTGTTGGGCTCCATACTGCTGAGCATGAAGCCTGCTTGGGATTCTCTCTCTCTCCCTCTGCCCCTCCCCCCTGCTAACACACTCTCACGCTCATGTGCTCTCCCCACCCCCCCAAAAAGGAGTTTATGACCCTATCTACTTCTGGGGAAGAAATAAAGATTGGGGCTGAAAATCAAGGTATCTTAATGTTATCTTTGTGATGCACATTTTTATTATAAGAATGTATTCTTGCATGTATGTGCTGTGAGGAATTCTTAATCGCAGGAAACAAACTGAGGGTTGCTGGAGTGGGGGGGGTGGGAGGGATGGGATGGCTGGGTGATAGACATTGGGGAGGGTATGTGCTATGGTGAGCGCTGTGAATTGTGTGAGACTGTTGAATCACAGACCTGTACCTCTGAAACAAATAATACATTATATGTTAAAAAAAAAAAAAAAAAGAAGAAGAAGATAGTAGGAAGGGAAAAATGAAGGGGGGGAAATCTGAGGGGGAGATGAACCATGAGAGACTATGGACTCTGAGAAACAAACTGAGGGTTCTAGAGGGG